TAAACTGAGGTTTCCTTTCTGTAGAGAAAGCTAGTCAGGGGGATCAAGGCTTTGGTCTTCATTTCCCCCGCTGAAACCTCAGGAGCACACTCATTACAGTCTGCATCCTAGTCTTCTGCTCCCACCAGAATCATCTACAAAGCTCCATTTATTGCATTTTAAGTGTTGTGTATAATAAACTTAAAACTTTTTAAAACTCTCCCACAAACCAGTTAGTTGTAAAGCCTCCTGAGCCACATGGTCAGGCACAGTCATAGCAGGGACCCTACTTTTTCTACCAGTTTTTCATCTCTTTGAAAAAATACCTGAGAAGACCAACTTAAAGCGTGGAAGATTTACTTTGGCTCATCTTATGGGGAGCTTCAGTCCATGGTCACTTGACTCCATTGATTCTGGGTCCTGGGGTGAGGAAAAACACTATGGCGGGAAGCATCTGGTGGAGCAAAGGTGCTCATATTAGGGTAGCCAGAGGCAGGCAGGCAGAGGGTGGGGAAGGGGCGGAGGTAAGATAGACTCTCCCGTGTCCTCCCCAGTGACCTGCTTCCTCTAGTGAGCCCCACCTCCTAAGACTGTACCACTCCTAATAACACCCCAGACAGCAATGGAGCCTTTCCCACCGGACATTGGGGGATATTTCAGATCCAAACAATAACACATGATCCAGCAGTTCCCTTTACTATTTCCCAAAAATTCTGGATATATATCCCAAAACATTGAAAGCAGACACTCAAACATATTTGTACACCCATATTCATATAATATTATTTACAATAACCGAACCGTAGAATCAATCCAACTATCTATCAGCAACTGAAAGGATTAGCAAAACCTGGAAAATAAATACTGTTCAGCTGTGCAGGTGAGGAAAACTCTAATACCCACTGCAATGAGGATCAGCCTCGAAAGGATTTGCTCAGTGAAACACGTCGACCCCAAAGGACAATATTGTATTGTTCCATTTAGATGAGTACAGAGAAGAGGCAAATTCACAGAAACCAAAGTAGGGCTGAGAGGAAGGGGGTGAGGAGGTACTATTTCATGATTCAGGTTCACGTTGGTGGTGGTGAACAGTCCTATAAGTCCTAGAAAAAAATGAGGGTGATGGCTGCACTACGTTGTGAATGTGTGTGCTTCACAACCCTAAATTGAACACTTAAAGTGACTAAAATGGTACCTTTTGTGGTGCGTGTTTTACCACAGTAAACAACATCCCATAAAGATCTTCACAGAGGCTGACCACGTTTCAGGCTGAGGTCTAAGTCATCGTGTGAGGACTGTACTGCAGGTGCTATCCACGGCTCGACATCGATCAAGAGTGCAAAACCAGAAGACTAAGAGATCTCAGAATCAACTGTACAGGGAACCTGCACAGCTACCCAGGAGGGAACTTCTAATAAACCCTCTGAAACAAAGCCCCCATTTTCAACAGGGAGGAAAATCTCTCAGAGACTCCCTGGGCATAGAGCTGCAAGGGAATCCTCCGGAACACCCTCTGCGGCAAA